AAGACAGTGACAGTGCACTCACATAAAATCAACCAACCAACCAACCAATCAATCTTTAAAAAAACAAAAAACCACAGGTTAAAGGGGATTCTCTTCTACCAAATAACCAAGCCACATGCCCAAAGAAAAAGTCCCTGGAGGAAACTAAATGTGCGCTTCCTGAGCTACAGGAAAGTGATGGCTGCTGCTGCAATGGAGGATCCAACCAGCCACAACATCCGACAAGACAAAGTCCAGCCCAGAACAACATTCACCTGTCTTCAACTCTGATGGCTCAGAGGAGTTACAAACGTCGATGCTAGCAGAGGGTGGCTTGTGGGTCTGAGGAAAGAAACCACCTCTGTATCACAAAAGGACAGCTGACAAAGAGTGACCCAAAACAGCAGACTTTCAGGTAGAAGAAATAGCTTTCTGTTGGAAGAAGATGCCATCCAGGTCTTTCATAGATCAAGAGAAGTCAGTGCATGGGTTCAAAGCTTCAGAGGACAGGCTGCCTCTCCTCTAAGGACTGATGTAGCTCTAACTTTAGTTGAAGCCAGTGCTCATTCTGAAAATCCTAGGGTCCCTCAGAACCACACTAACTCTCTTCTGCCTGTGCTCTGCACACGAGGCACACCTGCCTGTGCTCTGCACACGAGGCACACCTGCCTGTGCTCTGCACATGAGGCACACCTGTCTGTGCTCTGCACATGAGGCACACCTGCCTGTACACAGCATGGACAGCTGCATATCTGTTACAACTCGGTTTATGAACACTGTAAGTCCACTCTAGGTCTTACAGCTCAGATAGATCCCTTTCAAAACATTAGTGTCACTGTCAGTGCACCTGGTCACCCAAGAGCTCTGATGGAGCTGTACAAAGATGCTGATGATGTTTTCACGCCTGTTAACACAATGCCATTTCACAGCCCACAGGTCAAGGAATACTTATGGCTTTCAAATCTTATTATTTGAGAAATATATTTTAAGTAAAGCAATAGTAGTCATAGACTGAAACCTTCTGGAAAGAATTCAATTGTCTAGATGTCCAAATTCAAGACATACATAAAGTCTCAAACATTAACAGAAAGTCTTCACAGACAATTTTGAGGGGCTTAAAACTACAGCACAAGCAACAGAGGTGGAGGAGGCAGTAGATACTGGAGTCAGAAGTGGGGTGTGGAGCTGTGCTGGCATCACACTCATGATGTGACTAGGCTCTAACAGAGGATGGGCTGCTTCCAATGATGGGAAATATAAATGTTTTCTTGAGATGGAATCTTTTCTAAAGAATATTGGAGATTCATTCTGGTCTTTGAAAGAAGCCCTGTCATGAAAAATGAGGGACAGAGAAATCTCTCATGAAAGGAGTGTTGACTCAAAGCACATTTCTGTTACCTTAACAAACTGCCATCATCACCTTACTTAATAGCTGCCAGTCTGATCAGTCAACAGCCACCAATATTAGAGCAAGACCCTCAACTTACTGCAATATTACCATTTGCTGAAGGTTTTTAAACTGAGATGTGTGCATTTATGGACACGGTGGTGTTACTGTAGGCCAAGAATGCAGCACAGGGTACACATGACTCTAAAAGTACTGGGGAGGACAGCTTGTGGATCTGGACTTATTGTAGGACTTGCTTAACTGTGATGGTCTTTAACATAAGCTCATGGTGTTTTTACAGTGCTCCTGGTTCTCCAGCCTTCAAGCTCTGTAAGCTCCTCTTTTCTCTTACCCACAGTGTAATGTGGCTTCAATGAAGGAGACATCTGCAGATCCCTTAGTGAGGGTGGATAAGATTCTCTTAGACCCACAGTGTAATGTGGCTTCAATAGAGGAGACATCGGCAGATCTTTTAATGAGGGTGGATAAGAAGACACCAGGGGCAGATGTGAGGCCATTATAGGTTTTTAACTTTACTGCCTACTTTTCTATGTCTAAGGAAGAGAGGTCATGAATTAACATAGTCTGCTATGCTTCCTTCCCTGAAGCAAAGCCTCAATGCCTGATCCAAATGCAGAGACTAAGCTCTGTATGGTACAGGCTTTGATTTTTTTTCTTCTCATCTTTATATACAAATGCCATGAGTCACAAAGTAGCTGGCACCTTTTTTTTGTTTGTTTGTTTTTTGTTTTGGTTTTTTTTTTGTGGTGTCAGAGATGAAGTTTGGGTCCTTGCACATGCTGACCCCAAGCTCCACCACTGAGCGACATCCCTAGAGTTTACGAACATGTCTTCAGTGAGTAAATAATAAGGTCATAAACTTTGAAGAAATCTATTGAGTCTTGAGAATGCCGTACACACAGGCTTAGTAATCCTGTGAACAGGCCTCTACTTGTTTCCTTATGTTAGCCCACCTATGAGAAAGTTAGCAGGAGCTCTGAAGTCAGGAACTCTGAGAATTGAATCTAGTCTAGAGAGAGTCCCTGCTAACTGTGTTAGTCTATATGACTGCTATGCTAGATGGCCAACTAGACCTGCCATGACTTGATTCCTTCCAGCAAAGAGAAAAGACACACTACTAGCAAGGTCTTCAACTTAGAACTTCAGTGCTAATAAAATCAAACCATAAGATGTCATTAACATGAACCGTTCAAGACATGAAAAGATGCCCAAGACCTAGAAAAGACTATGCTAAAACACATAGTTTGCTTTTGTTGTTTTAATATTCAGTTAACATGTAAATAGGAAATATCTGGAGGTATGTATAGAAAAGCTTAATACTAATTAACTATTGGTGGTAAAATTAATATAACAGAAAAGCATAGGTTGTAGGGATAGCATCCTCTATAATCTATATTTCTGTGATGTTTACATTTTTAAAATCATACATGTTGTCTGTATAATCAGAAAAAAAGGAAAAATAAGATGAAAATAAAAACAGGTTTTTTTTTTTTTAAAAAAAAGTATGAGGGCACACTGTCACTGTCTTCATGCAGAAGAGGGCATCAGATCCTATTGTAGATGGTTGTGAGCTACCATGTGGTTGCTGGGAATTGAACTCAGGACCTCTGGAAGAACAGTCAGTGCTCTTAACCACTGGGCCATTCTCTCCCCTTTTGTTTTTTAAGACAGGGTTTCTTTGGGTGTTCTAGAACTAGCTCTGTAGACCAGGTTGGCCTTTAACTTAGAGATCTATCTGCCTCTGACTCCTGAGTTCTGGGATTAAAGGTGTGTGCCACCACTGCCTGGTAAAAGCTTTTTCTGTACCCAACAAAAGGTAAAAGAGAAGTGAGACCCTGTGATGGAAAGTGGCACTGTGCAGCCACCTTCTGAGGTGTACAGAGGCCCCACAGCATGACTGAGACTCAGTATAGCTTCAAGGACTTGTCCTTTATGCCCCTATACTTGAGCACACGACTTTCCATATTTAAACACTGAGGCCCAATTGGCACACAGTCTAAAACTTGTGACTTAGTTGATGTTAGTAGTTTGTTTCAGAATAGTCCTCAAAGCACTTCCTGATGTTTGGGCAGGCTCTACAGGAATGGTGATTAAATTCTTGTGTGTTTCCTGAGCACAAAGTTTTATAACTCAACTCTGCTGCCTAGGAGTGTGTGTGCAAGGTTCTTCTGTTCAAAAAGGACAAGGCCGTCTGTGACACCCCCACCAGGGGCCAGCCTCTTTGAATAAGGGTTGGCCATCCACTAAGGCAGAAGACTGAGACTATTTTCTCATGGATGAGAGACCAAGTCTGAGTGACTAGGAACAGACCAGGGCACCAACGTTTTGAGACAAGATCATAATTAAAAATGTTTGTAATAACTAACTACTACAGGTAAAATTTTGTTAAGTATTTCAGAAAACACATAAGTTAGAGGGAGAGAATCTTCTACAACTTGTATTTCTGTGATATCTGTATCCTTAAGTTACATGTATTATCTATATAATCAGAAAAGGAAATGAAAAAATAAGATGGAAATGAAAAAAAGCTTTTTCTTTATAAAGCCAAGTGAGGTTCAGCGATGGGAAGTGGGACTGTCAAGCCCCATCAAGGAGCTCGGAGGCTACAGCCCAGACTGGCTCCAGCTGGCAGCCAGCCTCCAGCCAGAGCCTCCTGGGTGCGGGATTATTGACTGGCCCAGCAGGCCAATGGTTAGCTAAAGCAACTTCTTGAAAGCTGCTTTTCTCTGACGCCTTCAGTCTCTTACTGTTCTTTCTCTAGCCAGGACACAGTGATGGCTAGAGATTCCTTCTCCCCAAGGCTGCTCGTGTGCCTTCAGATTTCTTTGGAGGTTACTAGTTTTACTCTAGTCTTACTAACTTTACTAACTTATGATAAAAATATGACTTTAGAAAATATACATGTAGGGCTTCAGTGTTTGAACTAAAATGTCTGCTACCTGTAGTCTAGTAAGTTAAAATTTGTTTGGTTCGGGGCTGGAGAGATGGCTCAGCGGTTAAGAGCACTGACTGCTCTTCCAGAGGTCCTGAGTTCAAATCCCAGCAACCACATGGTGGCTCACAACCATCCGTAATGAGATCGGATGCCCTCTTCTGGTGTGTCTGAAGACAGCTACAGTATATTCATAAATAAAATAAATAAATAAATCTTAAAAAAAAAAAATTTGTTTGGTTCTATATTATCTGTGATTATCAAGGAAGTCTCTGAAATGAAATCCTTCTCTGCTTTGTTTACTGTTCCTGACTGACTCTCCCAGTCGGATCTTCACTTGGACTCCTAGTGGGTGAAGCTAACAGGGTGTTTTCTTTCCAGTATGGAGTGCTTCCTCCCTGAGGCAGGGGGGCCTGTGTGTGAATTTCTGCATCAAAGCCAGCAGGGGGAGCACATTTACATAAGACTCTGAAGCCAGCTACCTTGGTAAAACAATTCAACTTTCTTCAGGAGAAAGGCTCTTTTGAATGTGAGTGAATTATCATACAATAAAGCAATAGCATGGTGATTTGGTGCTGAGATAAAGAACACTTGACAAAGAGTATTTAGAAATCGTCCAGCGGCCGCTATTTCAAGGGTGAGGTTATTGCCACAGCAGGTGCACATACACTCTGCCCGTACCTGTTTCTCCAGGCTTGGTTTGCTAAGCTGTACAGTCTGAGGTCCAGCGAGTCTGGTCCCTGGAGTAGCTATGACAATGCTGGTGAGCTGGGCCATAGGGAACGTTTTGGCTATGGTTGCGGTTTGTCCATTGACAACACGGACAGGGTGGATGGAATTCTGGGATGTGGGGAGGGTTGTGGGTGTAAACTTGGTCAGCATGACAGGCCTCTGGATAAGCTGAGGAGCTGCAAGCATGGGAGGAGGCGCTGGAGCGATAGGAATGTTATTCTGGGCCACAGGCTTGGGTCGAACCTATGAGAGAGAGAAAATAATTCTGTATTACCAGAAATAGCAAGTCTTCCAGCGTTTTCAAGCAGACTGGTGCCATATGGCTCATGACAGTCTTCTAAGTCTGAATGTTTAGGTTAACTTAAAATGATCCTGTGGTGGCTACTACTGATATAGTAGCAAGAACTACATTAAACATTGTTATCAACACCTATAGATATAATTTTCTAAAACACAAAAGCTTCATGAAATCTACCAACATATCACACTGATTTCACTTGAACTAACCTTTGACTCTTTACTGAAAACCTTTCACACAGCTGTTGTGAGAATGAAAATAGACAGTCAGTATACAGTGCCCAGGACTACATCAGGATTCTCTAAACATCAGTTCATACCATTTTTAATGTCCTGACTGTGCTTCCTGTCTGCAGGCTTAAGTACTTCCAACCTGTTGTCTACCAGGAGACAGAGGGAATCTCTAAACCATTAAGTACAATCATGTTAAGTACTTGTCTGCAACTGCTTCCACAGACCCCCTGTTGCTACGACTCAACCTACATCACTGCACAATGGTGAGGATCCACAGGCTCTTCTCCAGGGCATCTTTCCAGGCTCTTCATAAGTTTAACCCGGGTGGCCTCATGGTCTCTGCACAGCCACACCAAATCTCCTTGGCTTTTTGAACATACATGTGTGTCTCCACTCCAGACATAAAAGCCTACACTGTACTCTCAGCAGGGGCCATTTAAAAAATTCCTTCTTCAAAATATATCAGACAGACTTTACTGGGGTTTTAGGTCTCACATTGAATGTTGGACTTTTCAAGGAAATCATGAATGTACTTTATCAGTCTAGAATGGTCTGTGTCCCTTTCATATGTTCAATCTATCGTACTTCCCTTATAGACACTAATTCTCTATAGGCAACTGTGATGCTGCTGTGGCTGTGTCTTGAAAATCAGCATATCCAGGACATAATAGCTTAGTACAATGTTTGCTACCAACAGTACTTATAAAGATCTATCTCATAAATAACAGATAGATCTTCTTCTCTCATGCTAGTACTGTATGACCCCTGACAGACAAAACTCCTTTCTCTCTGTCTGAAAGCTATACCCTCAGAGAATAAGTGTTGCTCTTTCTACTGGATGAACTGCCTGGAGTCAAGCAGGGTTAGTCTAGTTGCTGGGAGAACGATCAGGGATTAGGGGAGGCAGCCCTCCTTGGGGCTGGGTAGAAAAGCCCGAGGCAGACTCCTACTCCAATTTCTGTAAGCCAGGTTTCACAATGGCTCACCTGGCTGTTGATTCTCCCTCTACTCTTTTTAGCAAAGTTCCCTTTGCTAAATATGGCTATATTTCTCCCAACCAAGGTGGTGGCGTCATGATGCTTCCACCAGTATTATCTTAGTTGCTTTCCACCAGGCAGTTTCGCCTCACCTTCACTGCAAGGGCAAGGCCCTGAGGATCTCATGACACTTCCCACAGTTGGAGCTCCCACTGCCTTACTCACCTGTGGAAGAAAGTTTGGACGTGGAGTGAGTCTAGGAGGAGGGATAAACTGTGGTACTTTGATGGGCTGAGGAGGTGTTGCTTGAACCTGCTAAGAAACAGGGAAACATAAATAAACCCGAGGGCATTCACTAGTCAGTGTCAGAGGCAGACATACAAAGGACATGGGCATCTGCCTTCCACACCACACAGAGTTCCCGCCAGCTCTCTCCATGCAGTTCACTATGTGAACTACACTGCGTCAGAAACTATTTCCTTTCCCACCTACACACTCTGTCCATAAAGGGATCAAAGGCACTCCTGTCTCCTCACGCACAGAAGCAAGCAGACACGGCAATGGTGGACTGTTTTCTGATACTCACGAACTCTTACATTTATATTTTAAGAGTCAAAACTACAGCTAAAGTAAAATCAAATTTACTGTCTTTCCACATGGATTTTCCCTCCCTCAAAGATACAAGCTTTACTCAACAGAGAGCAGCTTTCTTCCTACAGCGAACTTTTTTTTTCTTTTTTTCTGGCTTTTTAAAACATGGTTTTTCTGTGTAGCCTTGGCTGTCCTGGAACTCACTCTGTAGACCAAGTTGGCCTCAAATTCATAGAGATCTACCTGCCTCTGCCTCCTGAGGGCTGGATTAAAGATGTGTGCTACCACACCCAGTCTACAGAGAACCTATGACTCCTCATGCCTGGTTGAGGGCTGTGACTCTAAGGACTTTGACAAATCTTCACTTTGTTGCTACTTTTCCTCATTATTGATCTTTATTCAAAAAGCCACCAAGAGCTCTGTCATTTGAAGAAGATAACTGAGAATCACAATTTGAACCTGGCTCTCATAAACTTCCAAGAACAACAGTGCCTAAATGGCTTGATCCTAGAAATATCACGGACAGTCTTGTTCAAGTATTTCCTTCAGGTGATCCTCCCTCTGGAAGGACTCGATCTTTGGCACATTAACCTCCAAGTTTCCTGAGTATTTTTAAAGTGTGTCCCAACCAACTCTAAGTACTTCCTGGCTTTATTCAATTTAGAGGGATAATGAATTGAAAGAATGTAGAAGAGGGTTTTCTTCAAAGCAGGATATAGCACAGGGAGTTTCAGCACTCGGATCTCAGGGTGTGTGTATGTGTTGTGTGTGTGTGTGTTTGTGTGTGTGCGCGTGCGCATGCATGTGAGAGGCCTACAGGGGAGTTTGCTTTGCTAGGAATGATAGGCGCTCAGAACCCAGCAGGAGCCCAAAATGGATACCCTCTTCAATGTACAACCTGAACCCTCTCATGTGAACATATGAGTAGCAGCTGCTGGCTTACCAGAGTGACTGTGTTTTTTGCCACAATTTGGACAGCCTCTGCCCCAGGCCCAGTGACCTTACTAGACGTCTGGAGGTTGACTGGTGTGTTCTGCACATCAGTGCTGAGCACAGCCTTCTGGCTGTTGATGGCGGTCACCATAGCAATGGTAGGTCTCTGGCCCACAACAGAGGCAGGCATGGTCGCAGTTGCTGCTTTCAAGACGAGAGGTAGTGTCTTTGTGGTAATCATAGAAGCTGTAGTTACAGTCTTCTAGGAGACACGGAGAACAGATATTAGGAGACCGAAATGTGATCCCACTGAACCATATACTGCCAAACTCCTAAAGGAAACAATGCAACCAGGTTTGTCTATACGTACGCAGAGCATGCTTCCTACTACAGAGAGACAAGCTCTAGTTTCTCAAGTTAGGATCACTTGTAAACAGCAAAGCTCACTGCAGTGAGTGTACCCTCATGTAGACACATGGTTTTAGGGAATGGACAGTACACATCTACATGTACATAACAGGAGCCCACTTATTGCTTCTGGGTTTTCTAACTGCATAAAGTCAGTTAATTCCTGTGTAAGTTGCACGCTGTCTCTATCCCTGATTGCTATCACTTCACTGAACTGGCAATTTGCCTTCTATGACACAAAGGAAAGGTGTCATCTTTCTGAGGACCCCCTGGGGGAGCAGAAGAGAAACTCACTGGAGGATCATCAGCACAACTGCTGCCTCAGAGGCAGTAAACCCCAAGCTGCAGATAAGGACGTTGTTAAAGAGTACAGGAAACACCAGTTTTCTATTCCAAAGGGAGGGTTGTGCTGCCGCCTACAACCTTTCCCCTGGAGAACTGACACGGAAATCATCAAAGAGTCAGGGAAACTGACAAGGTGGGAACAAGCACCTGCCTTTCAAAAGCCTTGGAACTTAGAGGAGGAGCTTTGGTGAGGACCCGGAGCTTTGAAGCTGCATTTGCCCACCTTTTTACTAGAACGATTACAAATGTCTGTTACAGAAACCACCATATTACGCTATATACACATCTCTCTGGCACTACTGCTTGCCACTCAAGATGCAGACCTTTCAGGAACGCAAACATTCATCTCCAACTTACTGGCTCTGATATTTATTCCACTTTTATTTCTCTTTCTAAATGTAGTCTACACTTTGGCAGCCACCAGCTACACCTGGCTTTTTATAATTTTAATTAGAAAATGAAATGGTCAGTCCTGGGCTTATAGTCATCACATCTTCTGAGCCACACGTGGCAAGTCCTAGCAAGCAGGACTGTGGTGGGAGAGCATGCCCTGCTCTGCAGGAATTCTCCCCAGCGGCCCTCTCTCCTCTACACACCTGGAAAAACCTTGAAGTTTCTCCTCCACACCATGTATCCAGATACTGAGTGTATAGACTTCTTTACATTTTCTTCCTGATATGTGTTTGCATGCACATACACTCATCTTTTAAAACCTCTTTTTAAGAAGAACAACAACATCAACAAAATGTAAAACTGTGTACTCATCCATCCCACTAGCAATCCTTATTAGTGTCTACAATTAAAACCACCCAAAATACAGCACGGGCAGCTCATGCCTCCCACCACGGCCTTCTCAAATGTGAAATGGCACCTGGGCAGCAGGTCAGGGTTGAGAGCCAGCTGACAGCTAAATGTCATTTGATCACCGGAAGTATTAGAGTGTACAGCAGCAAAGGCTATCTGACGAAGCCAGCTGTTGTATAAAGAGTTTTAAACACAGTATGCTATCAGTTTCAAATTTCAATTTAAAATGCTTAAATACAAAGAGCTTTTGAAGAGGTAAGTGAGCAAGCCATAGTAGATGGCCTTTAATCCTAGTGTAACACAGGCTATGAAGTGACCATCTTGTCAGTAGAATCCAATGACACAGATTTTAAAACAGTTTATGTGTTCATATTGCTTTAAATGAGATCAATGGACTTTTGTTTGGAATATCTTTAGTTGAGGCAATCATTATCAATATTTTGATTAACTCTAAACTGATTATTCTAGCAAATACTGAATAAAAACACAAATATGAATGTGTTTATATTACATATTTACCTAAATTATACATTATCATTAACTTGATGCTTTCATAACATTAAATCTGACAAGTTACTTCCCACTGAAACTCAGGATTTTATTATCCTTTATATGTGTTTAATTGTGGCTGATTTTATTGTATATATTCTAACATTTATATAATTATACATAATACGTAGGCCCAAGACCTAGTATGACTGTCTCAGTGAAAACTTCTTAATGAATGTATTCATGGATTAGTTAAGATTCTCATTTCTTATCCAATCTTATCTCCACTCCAAATATTAGGGAACATGAAGCAAACTCTTCAAATGTTAAGGTTTAGACAAGAAGGGTTCTTTGACATCCAAGCATACTGAAAATGTCTCAGCGGTCCACAGGAAGAAGAGAAGATGCAGAATGGTTGGGTGTCCAGAATAAAAGACAATGATTTTCATGGAAGTTGTGTTTGGACCTGGGTAGATAATGCTACTCAAGTCTGATGATCGTCAAGTGAAGGTAGCAGGTTCCATAAGCTTCTTTAATTGTAACAAAACTTGACTCCTATGAGCTAGAAACTCATGCAGACATATATTCAGTGGCACCAAGGCAAAGGCCTTTTGTTTTACTTTAATAAATTAAAAAAATTAAGATTTATTTATTTTATGTGTACCATGTTTTGCCTGCATGTATGCATGTGCACCACATGTGTGCCTGAGTGCTTGTAGAGGCCAGAAGAGGACATGGAGTTACCAATAGCTGTGAACCACCATACTAATGTTTGGAACCAAACATAGGTCCTTGGCAAGAGCAGTGGTGCCCTTAATTGTTGAGCCATCTTTCTGGCTCCTAATTTTTTTTTTGTTTGTTTGTTTTTTGTTTTGGGGACAAAGTTTCCCTTGGCAGTCCAAGCTGGCCTCAAACTTGCAGTGATCAACCAGTCTCAGACTCTTAAACACTGGGATTACATGTGTAAACCACAAAGCCTGGCTAAATACCTTTGTATTTTTTGCTAGGTTAATACTGTTAACTTGTAAGATAAGAGGCATTTTAATTTACAAAGAGCTGATCTAACACACAAATCAGAACTCCAAGGGATATTTCTATGGGATCTAATTAACCTCTACATCTGTTTTAGTGTCTGCTTAATTTTGAATAGGAAGTCACTGTTGTACACTCAAACACAAATAGAATTCATCCTCCCCTTTGTTTATAAGGTTATTTTTGTATTTAGTTTTTAGTAACTACACACCTTCCGCCGACAGCCTATAGTTTTCCAACTAGGGGTGTGGCCTTGACAGTCTGATGCTGCTATTATCCAAGTCTTGTTGTTGATTTCATGTGTACAACTTCCCTGTTGTGTCTAGAAGACACTGCCTCAAAGCAAGGGTCCCTCAGTTTAGAATATGAAACGTCCTCACCTAGCATCTCCTTCCTGCCCACTCTAATCACAAACAAAGGTCATTCTTTTCACAAGTTACAATCTAATATATGCTATACTTAAACTACTATCTATCTATTATGAGCCTTTAATTACCTCTGTAGGATTACCAAACACCCAAGTTTCATCAGGCACTTAGGGGCAGCTCTTCTTGCCTTTGCTGGCCTTGTATCTCTCCCATTACTTGACACTCAATACTCGAATAATGTGAGCCTCCTTGCTACCTCAAATGTGTGAAAACTTGAGCGGGGATGTCTTGTTTCCAGTTGGTGAAATGTTTAGGAAGGGTTAGAGGTGTGGCCTTGGTGGGGGAGGTATGTTCCTGGGAGCGGGATAGGTTTTAAAAGCCCACAACAGGTCCATTCTCACTCTATTTCTGCCTCCTGCTTGGGACACTACACCTGCCTTTGCATTTACTTTTCTTTTTTTCCTTTCTTTCTTTTTTTTTTTTCGGTTTTTCGAGACAGGGTTTCTCTTTATAGTCAGGGCTGTCCTGGAACTCACTCTGTAGACCAGGCTGGCCTTGAACTCAGAAATCCGCCTGCCTCTGCCTCCCAAGTGCTGAGATTAAAGGCATGTGCCACCACCGCCTGGCTCACATTTACTTTTCTAAAGAAAGATTTTATTCTACTAGTATTTTTAAATTTGAATTTTTAAATTATATGTCTGAGTCAGGGTTTGTACATGTAATTGCAGTGCCTGTGGAGGCCAGAAGAGGGCATCAGATCCCCTGGAACTGGAGTTATAGATAGTTGTGCGCCACCTACCACAGGTGCTGAGAAACTGATTCTGAGTCCTCTGCAAGCAAAGTACAGGCTCTTACTCTCTTGGCACCAAAACTGTCCCTTCCAGTCCCCTCCATTAAAATATTTTAAAAGATTCTTTTATTTTTAGTTTGTTTCTTTTAGTGCGTGTCATGTGGTGTGTGTGTGTGTGTGTGTGTGTGTGTGTGTGTGTGTGTGAGAGAGAGAGAGAGAGAGAGAGAGAGAGAGAGAGAGAGAGAGAGAGAGAGGGACAGAGAGATAGAGACAAAGTGTACATCTGAGTGTAGCTGTCTGTGGTAGTTGTGGGCTTATTAGACATGGGTGCTAGGAACTGAACTCAGGTCCTCTACAAAAATAATGCAAACTTTTAACCACTGAACATCTTCTATAGATCCCAAATTTACTTTTTGTAAACTCTGTATTTTTTTAATTGTCTTATTCCCTACATCGCTGATGCTCTCTGCTCATCACAGAAATCCCATTCATTGGTCAAGACCCTATCATATGCCACCTCCTTTAAAAATTACTTTTGATTCTTCTAATGAAAAATGACTCTGTTCTCTGGGATTTTCATAGTTCTTCACTGATAATTTGATTTTACTCCTTATAACAGTTTGTATTTTTCTTTCAAAAATTTAAAATTCTTGAAAAAAGAAACTATTTTTTTGTGAGCCAGTCTAGCCTCCACATTGGATAGCTCAGTGCTTACACAGTGTAGACTTAATAAACATTTACAAAATCAACAAAAATGAATGATTCTAATATAGCAGATTCTTGGCAGGGCCACTGCTCTTTGTATACTACCTAGCACACAGGGAGCAGTCAGTAAACAATGAATGAAGCTTACTGCAAAGACAAACAGCAGAAACCTAGAGGCCTTTGGGTTTTAGCATTAAGCCTTTGCATTAAACAAAATCAAAAGAATATAAAATCAAGGTTACCTAAATCAATTAACTATGTCAGGTGTGCTACCAGATGGAGGGAAGCGATGCCACACTGTTCTGGAGCAGTGCTGGGCCTGTTGTTCACCACCCAATGCAGAGTGCAGGTGAACAGAGGCTACCAACTAGGTAGCCTCTTTTGTTTATAAGTCTTTTCTTGATTTGTGCGACATGGAATATTACTTGAATAGAAAATTTTATGTATCACCAAACAACAATTCTACCCTATTCTTTCCATGTAAACTATCTCTGATCTAACTGCATTTTGGAGGAAGAACCTAATCCAACTCTGCCTAGAACCTGAGGAAACGCAAACTCAGAAGCAATCTGTGAGAAGTTATAGACATCTAGGGGCCTTGAAGAACAGCCTGGACAGCTCACAGCTGGCTGTAGCTCCAGACTCGGGGGGATCCAATGCCCTATTTTGGCCTCTGCAGGCAATGAATGCAAGTGGAGTGCATACATACATTCAGACAAATAATTCCACATGCAGAGGCAGGCAGATCTCTTGAGTTTGAGACTAGCCTGATCTACACAGTTCTGGCCAGCCAAAACTATATAGTGAGACCCTGTTGGGGGAAAAACAAGTCCAATCTGCATATAGTATTAGGGTGATTAGTGGAAAAGTGTGTTTGGTGCTCTTGTTCTCTGATTTAGGACAGGGACTTAAAACACATGCTGGACAAGTACTCTATCACTGAGCTATAGCCTCAACACATTAGACTCTTTTGTTGTTGTTTTGTTTTGGTTTTGTGAGACATGGTTTCTCTGTGTAACAGCCCAGGCTGTCCTGGAATTCGATTTGTAGACCAGGCTGGCCTTGAACTCACAGATATCTGCCTGCCTCTGCCTTCTGACTGGTCTGACCATGTGTGCCATCATGCTTGGCTAGACGCTTTTTAAAAAAATTACTTTATGTGTGTAAGTGTTTTGCAGGCATATATGTGCACCATATGCATGTCTAGTACCTACAGGGGCCGAAAAAGGCATAGATCCACTGTTACTGCAGTTATGGATGGCTGTGAATCACCATCTGGATACTGAGAATTAAACTGGGTCTTTTGTAAGAGGAGTAGGAACTCTTTAACTGCTAGGTCATCTCTTTTATTTATTTTATTTGGGGATGTGTGTGTAGGTGTGCAGATGTGTGGAGGCCAGAGGTCAACCCCAGGTGTCATTCTTCAGTTACCCACTTTGTTTTGTATTTTAAATACAGTTTGCTTGTTTGTTTGTTTGAGTCAGGGTTTCTCTGTGTAACAGCCCTGACTGTCCTGGAACTTCCTCTGTAGACCAGGTTGGCATACAATTCTCAGAGATCTGCGTGCCTCTGTCTCCCAACTGCTGGGATTAAAGGCATGCACCAACACACCTGTCCGAATTGATTTGTTTTTATTTATGCATTTAATGTGTATACATGTGTGCCTGAGTATACACACACACACACACACACACACACACACACTATGGATACAGGTGCCTGGAGAGGCAAGAGGAGGAGGAGTTATAAACTGTTGCATGCCTCTTGATGTGGGTGCTGGAGACTGAACACAGGTCTTCTGCAAGAGCACCAAATACTGTTAATCCCTGAGCCATTTCTCCAGCCCTCGTTTTGTTTTTTGAGACAGGATCTCTCACTGGGATCCCAAATTTACTGATTTAGCTAAGTTGGCTGGCCAGCAAGCCCCAGGGATGCGCCTGTCTCTACTTGTCTAGCACTGAGATTTAAAAAAACACACACATGACTATGCACTGGTTTTTTATGTAGATGGTGGGTCTAGAACTTAGACCTTCATGCTTACACAGCAAGCCCTTTTCCAACTGAGCCATCTCCCCAGGTCCATCAGTTACTTTTAAAATGGTATTTTCATAATATATATGTGTGCAGAGGTCAAGTTTGAATAATTTTCTTAATCAAATGTCAATTCCAAATATGCCCTTTCAGTATATCTTGACTCTCTCCTAACATTCTACACTAGATTAAATGCCCTTTTCAGTAAAACATTTTCACAGCTACATCAAGCTATGATATGACACTGCTACTTAGCTCTAAGGCTCACCTGCAACCTCATTCAGATCTCTACCAGTTTATTAGAATCAATGCACATTCTCAACAAGTAGACTTGAACATTTTGTCTATGGATAATAAAAACATAGCACCCTTTTGAATGCTTCTTTCTACATCATTCCCAAAGCATGGATACTGGAACAGCTCCATGCCTAAGTTCTAAGAATTGTACAATAATTACAGAAGGGATCAAGTCACGTTAGTACATATATAAATAAATACCCCAGAAATCTCCAAATGGAAATCATTCCTGGCCCCTCTGAGATAGGATCTCTCTCATGAAGCCCAAGAAGGCCTCACACTTGAGCTTGTTATGTTGTCAAGGGTGACTAATTGACTTTTTGACCTCTCTGCTCCCACCTCAGAATACTCAGATCACAGGCATGCACCACTACCCCTGGCTTTATACAGTACTGAGGATCAAACCCATGGCTTCATGAATGCTAGTTGAGCTCCCTAGCTCCATCCCAAGCCCATCATTTACCTCCTGCTCCTTAGAAGCTCTTTCCTTCTGCAGGTGAATTTAACTGATCCTTATGTCAGTGACAGTAAAAACCCCAAACAAAATTCAGAAAAGTTGTTTAGTGTTAGCTGAGCTTAGGATAGTTCAATATAATCCAGTTCTATGTGACCAATAAGTAACCAATACCCAACACTCAGCCTTGGTTGCTCCACCCACACGGTTACCTGTGATGCAGTCAGACTAGGCGGTGCTGCTGACTGCTGGGCGTGCTGCTGCTGCTGTTGTTGTTGCTGCTGTTGCTGCTGCTGTTGTTGCTGCTGCAGGGGCTGTAGTGGCTGCTGCTGTGCTGTTTGCAGTTTGTTTTCAGACTGTGACAATGGCTGTATCTGGAACTTGTCCGGCTGCTCTTGCTTGACTATCAGGTTCTTCCGAAGCTGTTCAACTACTCTTTTCTACCAAACGAAGACAAAAGAAAACTTATCAGAACATTGATCATTCTCTAATGTCTTTCCACAACTAGCTTCATCTAACACCATACCTAAAATGTACAGATTCTAACACAAGGAACCCAAAGAACCTTATAGATTCCCATTAATATGAAACCAGTGTTATAAAAAAAACTTAGGCACACAGATTTAAAGAGTGAAGCAAAGCCCATGCTTTCGCCTCCCTCCTCTTCTTCCTCCTTCCTAGATTCTCTTTCCTTCCCTGTCCACACCTCTTCCTTAAGGTGGCTTTACTATGCAGTCCAGTGGGCCTTGAACTCAGTGCCTTGCTTCAGCCTCTCAAATGCTAGGATTATAGGGTTGAACCACTCTAGCCAATTCAGATTTTTTGGCCATTATCAGTTTAGCCTGTGAGGTAGAGCAGAACAGGACAACAGAAGCACTGGAGCTATGATGTCTTAACTCAAGCCCAGAGTATATGCTGTTGGGTGGGTATTTTCAATCTACCTGTTCCTTAGTGTCCTGGTGTGTAAACATGAGATAAAAATGTGTCTTATGAGCAGTAAATGAGCTAATCTATATGGAATGCACTGAACTTTAATTGGAACATTTCTGATCATTACTAAGTTATTTCATCTGACACTTTAACTTTTCTAGAGAGCATCATGTATCTCTCCCAGTTTGAAACATTAAGTAGGGTTTGGGACATGGCTCTTGTATAACATATGCAAGGCTTCAAGTTCAAGCCATAGCATGAATGATATCTCTCTCTCTCTCTCTCTCTCTCTCTCTCTCTCTCTCTCTCTCTCTCTCTCTCATTTTTAAATAAAGAAACTGTTGTATGCTATATATACAGAAAGTATTCTGAATTACTGAAATGTATAACTACCGAGTAGGACTTCTTCACTAGGACAGATTTTAGAAATGTATATGACATATGCATAGCATCATATGCTATCTGTTTAGGCAGAGTACAAGTTTAACTACATGGGATGGAAATTTAAAGTCAAACTGGACTTGGTGGCACATGCCTATGAATCCTAGCACTCAGGAGGCTGAGGTAGGCAGAGCGCTTTGAGTTCCAGGCCAGCCTGAACTATGTAGCTATGTAGTGTGTTCTAAGACAGTTAGAGCTACATAGTGAGACCTTGGTTAAAAAAAAATTAAAATAAAAAGCAAGAAAGAAAATTTAAAATCAAGGTCTTATAAACATCTTAAGTTGTACTTAAAAAAAAAAAGATGTGGTTTTGGATATTTTCATTATTATAATAATCTATCCCTCTTGCCTGCCTTCTGCCTTCCTTTCCTTTCTTTTTAGTGTATGGCAGAGGTGCTCAACTTGTGGGTTGCAAAGACTTTGGGGTCAAATGACCCTTTCATAGGGGCTTAAGACCATCAGAAAACATCGATGTTTACATTATGATTCATAACAGTAGTAAGATTACAGTCATGAAGTAGCAATGAAATAATTTTATGGTTAGGGGTCACCATAACCTGAGGAGCTAGCTCTATTAAAGGCATGCATCATTAGGAAGGCTGAGAAGCCCCTGTGTAGGGGACCTCATGTGTGCTAGGCAAGTACACTGCCGTTAAGCTACAGCACCAGACTCTATAAAGACTACATTTCATAAAAATATATAATTCATCACAGGAAACTGCTATGAATGCAGGGTTTATTAACATCTCCACTTTGTTGACAGCACTATGCTGTAAACCAATGTCCTCATTCCCTACACAGAGTGTGCGAGGGACTAAAGACTAGTCACTGGCTCAGAGAGGCTGCACAGTGAAGTCATCAGCTGCAGTTTGCTGGTTCTGATAACAAAAGGTTGATATTTCTGGGACAGATTATGACTGGAGACAATGAAGCTTAGTGCTAGTTGAGATTAGTATACTTTTGATTAATTAACTTTTTGAGATAAGTTCTTATGTATTCCAAGCTAGTCTCAAACTCACTGTGTAGTGGTCAAGGATAACCCTGAACTGACTGATCATCTTTGGAGTTCTAGGAATATAGATGTCACCACCACACCTAGTTTGTACAATGCTAGGAGTCAAACGCTGAACATCATGTATGTTGGTCAAGCACTCTACCAATGCAAATGCACCCCTTGCTCTCAAAATAAAGCTTTCAGTAAAGGTTAAGTGAATCTGAAACAGCCAGGTTAACCTGCAAATTACTAATGTGGCGCTAATCAACTTTGCCACCCATATTCACTAAAGAACGCAAACTCCAAGGCTACCTTACTTAGTATGGTGGAATAGTTAAATATTCACAAAATGTATTTTGAAAGCATTTAAGTCAATATTAAATATATTCTTAAAAAGTTTAAAAATACTGTTATTGATTCTTTTCAGACAATGAAAATATCACATAAAGGACAATTTTGGGGAGGGAACCAATTGTACACTATACCTCATACTAGCAATGCCTTTTAAAGGAAAAAAATTTTTAAATGCAGCCCAAGTCTTTTTGCAGAAGACACATGCAGAATAAAAAAATTAATAAACTATTAAATCGTTATAAAAATTAACATTCAAGTCTTCAAAATTATATTTCTCAAGTATAGAGGGCATTAAAGGTGCTGCAGGTAACTGTGAGCACTGCACAGAGATGTTAGTTAGCACTGGGTGCCTTTCTCAACACCTAGACATTAGAGAGTTAAATAATTAATTAAACTTGCTTTCAGTCTTCCTCATCACCAGATAGCCACTGCTGAAACGAAACCAGGTATTAAATTTTATGTGAATAGAGAAACTAACCTGGAAAATATGTATTTGTTAGTATCAAAATTTCTCAAATGGGTTAAGGGAGTGTCTTAAGTGATGGAGGGGGATGCTCTGTTGGTCAACTGAACTTCAACTACTGCATTTATGGTTAACACTGAGGATGTGACAAATAGGCATGACAGTCTTCAGAAAGTGTCATACAATTATTGTCAATGTAGCCATGCATGGTGGCACAGCATGGCATCCTAGTCAGCACTCTTCCAGGAGAAACAGACTCTAAGAGCTTATACAAAAAAATAAAAACCAAACCAAACCAAACAAAACAACCAAAACAAAAACCAGAAAAGGGAAACATGAGGAAAACTTGCCAAAGGAAAAGAGAAGAGTGGGGTGGAGAGTCACTCAAGGAAACATCGCAGGAAAACTAGATAATTACTGTATCATGTTCAAAAGAACAGGGTGTCTTTATCCTCTACAGCCACCTTTAGGAACTATAGTGTGTTCTCGTGATTACTGCCTACTGAGGTGAACTACGAAGAAGAGACAAAGCCCGGGACCTGCTCCCAGTGCTGTATGTAACAGTAGGCAACAACAGAGGCAAGAACTAGAGAGATACAAACTCTTCAGCCACATGTCTAGAGCAGGGTGATAGCTAATCAAAACCAGAAACAGAATATGAGTCACAGTACGTTCATAATGGTTCCTCCCCAGAGCCCAGAACAAAGCCATGGAGACCTGCTAGTGGGGAGGGAAACCTACAGAAAATACCTGCAAGGTTGCATCAGTTCTTAGGAGGAAGGAAAACAGCCTGTGGGTTGGACAGGTCGGATCATGTGAGCTGGGTAAAGCTTTCTGTAGAAGACAGCTCCAGTATTTCAAAGCATCACCCAGACCAGAACAGCCTAGCTCCCTGTCCTCGCTGTATGTGTCAACTACAATACCATGGTCACATAATTGTGTTTGTCTGTGGACGTCTGAAAGTTTGAAAGCTCAAGGTTTGGGCAGTATTGCTTCCTGTCACTAATTGTACCAGTGCAGTCAAAACCAAGGATTAGAACAGAAAGCTCTACTGTAAGGCACCCTAGTGCAGATGCACTCCTCGGGCAGAGGTGCTCTGAACACCATCAGCAAGATAGGGCTGCTGAGGGAGCAGTCTGTGCATGAAAGCAGCTTCTCTAAGTCCCACAGTCTCAGAGGGTTGTGAACACAGGTTCAGCACCAGATCCAGGTGAAAGTGAGAGAAGGCAATGACAGTGTTTCCGAAGCCCTTGCCAAGTGTGGTCAGGGAGTCCTTAACACCCACACAAAGGATCCTCACTGCCCCAGGAGGTGAACCTACACGGTCACCACTGTGGTCTGAGCAAAGAAATCATGTTTTGTTTTGTTGTTATTGTTGTTGTTGTTGGTCTTTGTTGGTTTGTTTGCCAGCCATTAGTGTTCACATATGAGAGAAATCTTTGAATGTGGCTAATTATCCCAGTTCATTATCCTGAAGTTCTCAAAAAAGACTAAATCTCATATACTGGCATTTGACATTACTAAACAGTTTTAAAGTTTTTTTTTTTAAAGATTAGTATTAATAACAATTAAATAATTTTGGAGACAGGGTCCTCCACTGGCTATCCTGGAACCTACTATGTAGTCCAGGCTGGCCTCTGACTCACAGAAATCTGGCTGCCTCTGCCTCTTGAGTGCTGGCATTAAAAGTATGTTTGTCTTTAAAAGATTTGTTGTTGGAGCTGGAGAGATGGCTCAGTGGTTAAGAGCACTGATTGCTCTTCCAGAGGTCTTGAGTTCAATTCCCAGCAACCATATGGTGGCTCACAATCATCTGTAATGGGATCTGATGCCCTCTTCTTGCACTTACATACATAAAATAAATATTTTTTAAAGGTTTGTCATTTCGTTTTTAAACAGGAAGTGGGAATTGAAGAAAAAGAAAAAGAAAATTTGGAAAGAATGATGGTAGATGAGAGGGAGAGAAAATAACTTGTAGACGACTTCTCTCTTCAATGTGCTTTCTATAAATAACAGGCCAGTAACAGGCCAGTGTGGCCTGTGTCCACAAGGGCTGCCCTGTCCCTTTCAATCCCTCTGTCAAACACGCCGTAGACCTAGCCTGTGACCAGCCCCTGACCTCCTTGACTCCTACATCTCAGTTTCATCAGGGCTTATTCAGATAGACGAGTTCACAGGGCCTTGGTGATCAATACTGTGACCTTCAGCGATACTATCAACATATTCACATAACAGCAAGACAGGTCTGAAAGGAAAAT